GGCAAACAACCCTTTCTGATAAACAGAGACAGGCAATAGCTCAACGCTCAACCACTAGCTGAATAAGACCTTGTTAAAACCGACGACAAAGTGGTGTTATTGTTCTTCAATGCCGTGAAAGGACAAATATGTTGCATTTGGCATCTCTACTGGCAAAGAAAATATTCCTCGTGTAGAAAAGATTGTTTTAGTCAAAGAGTGGGTATAACAAATTGATGAAAAATTATTTTTGAGGGGGGATTTGAATATGGTGCTTTTCAGAATCATGCCTTGGTTTGAAACCAAAGACTTGAAACTGCACAGTTTGGTTATTGTTCCCTAACATTTGTTAAACCTTTTCGAGGGGGTTACATCTAAAAGGCCACTTTGCAACAATATTTCGGGTATTAAACTCAATGTCATTAATTTTGCTTAATGTTATTAAGTATCTACGTCTGTAAGTGATGTTCTTACGATGCTGCAGTATGATGTGGCGATTTATAAAAATGTTATAAATGGTTTTCCAGCAGTTTTTGACACAGACCTATGTATTAGTTTCAAAAAGAAAAATTAAAATACGATGTACTGTAAAAACTTAAATTTTCACAATTCTAATCTTAGATGAGCCTAGATCGAATAGTGAAGGGGTGTTTTATACACTCGTACAACATACTGTATTTTTCAAGATCCTATAATGTTTAAATTGCAAAACTTTAAAACCCCACAAATCATTGTAGTTGATCCATCTTTAATTAAAGTTTATTCAAACTAGAGTTTGTACGAGGACTGGCGCCCTTCCTAATCGTAGAGCATGCTTGTCACGCCAAAGGAACTACTTCATAGCTTAAAGAGTAATTTATATTGAAAACTGGCATGGCGTGAGCGGTGTGGCGCGAATCGCATATGCAATATGCGCCAACCTTGCATGCAAGCGGACAACGGTTCACAGTCTTAATCGCGTTCGTTCATGTTACAGCTTAAATTACCTCTTTCTACAATTACTTAACTATTTCCCCCGACTATTACAAGTATTAAAATTACATTCTCTTCTCGGAATGTCAGACTCTTCATGAGTTCTGTAGGTGGAAGGTCCCATAGCTCCGATTAGCTAGAAATCCGATGCACATTTAGTTTTAATAGCTCCGAATAGTCTAAATACTATACAGCTGTGATAACTGAATTGAGACTCCGAAGATAGAATTATTCCCATAGATCCGACGATTTTTTTAAACACAAATATCCGATGAAATTTCAAAATATCCTCCCAGGTTCGAGCGAAGCGAAGGGTACAGTGGGGGTAGTTAAACAGTGCGAGTACACGCCTTGTTTTTTTATAATGTACATCTGCTATGTCTCATTCAGTGAAGGAAAAACTGGTATTTTCGCACCAACGTCTATTATTCGCGTCTTTTCGACACGCTTACTAAAACCGCATCGTTTTCTAATATTGTCAAACCAATCTAATGTGGATCACTTTGTGTGTATGTGGGAATTATGTAATCTTTTTGCCGGTACTTTTTGTCATGTGGGATATTGTACTGATAAATCTTCCTATGAGGATTGTCTCATCTTTCTGTTCTTCCTTTGTGCCAGAAGAGTTTTACATTGGTGGCGGCTCCCTGGCACTTCCTACTCCCCCTCGTCCGCTCGCCGTCGGTTGCCGTCCCCCGATGACCGTGTGATGTGTTATCCTTGATGAGGGGCCTCGCCGGCCAAATGTTATGGTGGGAGGGGGGTCCTGTGACCTTCGTCAAGTTCAGTGGACTCTGAACCAACAGGCGTACCACCACCACGCCACTACTTCTGTCTGGCCGGGCCATTGCTGCCACCACAACCACTGCATATCTACAATACATCTACAACCACAACCAAACCAAACCATATTCTGCATGGAATTAGTCCTGTGTACGACGTTTTATCCAATAAAAAATAGGTCTTTGTAAAATGTAATTTGTTGAAATAAATTATTCATATTATACATATATATTTATAAATATTTAAATTTAGTAATCAGTATTTAACACAATAGTTTAACAGCATTACCGATTACAAACCACTCAAATCACATATGGTATATTAGGTAAGGCGAATAAGTTATTTGCTTTTGTTTTTTTATATATTATTCAACTACAGTATGCGCATTATTAATTTGCATCGTGTGTGATAACAATATGTTAAGCTTAAGCACTCTTCTCACAGAATTTAAATATTTAGTTGGTATATTCTGCCAGCTCAGTCTGGAATTGACAACTAATGTTTGTATATAACTAAGTTTTGGCCAGTTAATCGTATAAAATTCGTAGTTTCTGGAATTTGCTGAAAGTTTACAGTCTGGAATTCATAGTTGCTGGAATGTGCTGAAAATGTACAGTCTGGAATTCATGGTTTCTAGAATGTGCTGAAAGTTGACACTTTGGAATTCACAGTGCATATGTTCTGTATAGATGTACAATCCACTAGTTCCACTGTTTTTTCTGTGGCATTAACCTCGCAGTGTTGGTACTGTATTGAGAGATGAAGTATGAAGAGCGCAAGTGGCCGTCATCAACGATATGATATGTGGTATGCCAGCATGAGTTTAGACTTGAGTATGAGTAGCCAGGACAAATGAGTAAAGCTAATGAGGCGGCTGTAGAGACGCTGATTTACAGTTCACCTGTCACTTCGCGTTTAAACATGGCTTAACTCTCAGTCCCGTCGCCGTCAGTGACAATGTTACACGATGGGTCCGTCTTCAGTTTATTGGCAATGTAGTTTCAGACGAAGGATCGCGTGTGATTTCCAAATAGTGTTATATTTACAATCCAAAGATATTATTCACGTGCAATGAGCAAATTGTAGAGAAAGAATAAATATTTTGGGAGTCGTGCCAAGTGCAAAAAGTCTAAAACATGAATTACATAACTGGTGGTCCATGATCACGTCAAATTGAAATCACAAGTCTTTTAGTTTAATATAGTTTTCGTTCAAGAGTAGTCTAGGCTATATGAAAAGCAGGCTAATATGTAGGGAAATAATTTCAGCGTGTATGGTAAACTTATTTGAAATGTTCTTATATACAATATTATAGGGACAGTCTACAAATTTTCACGACTTCCTTAAAAAAATACAAAATGTCTTAAAAGTTTTTAAGTTGTTTCAAAATAAGACCATGAATGAAACAAAATACAAACATTTGTATAAACGTAGATACAGATAACAATTCAAATCAATGCTCCATTTACTAAAAAAAAAAAAAAAAAAAAAAACTGAAATACACACTACAGCAACTGTGGACGATTACAATATACTACAACAACATATTATTTCCTTAATACATACATATCCCCCAACCAAAAGTTTGTTACAGTATTGGCATATTATGTCCAAGTGATTCTCTTTCGAGCTGTAAATCATTTTCAAAGTGGAACATTTATTTTGTTCTTGAGCCCACTCTCACCACTAGTGACGGTTTTTATTGTCGTGCGGCGTCCCTTCCATCCCCAAGGTCAGTTTTTAGGAGGTTTGGGGCGTTAGGTCTGCTCTGCACAGAACCACCATTTTCACTCCAGACACACTCCAATAGTTCAGTGTATGAATTTCATTGTTTATACTTATGCGAACAATTATAATACTGCCATGAAGTGAGCCTCATAGATCCTTCGTAGGTAAAACCAATCTGGACCACTATAAGAGGGAAACGTAGCATTGACCATCAGTATACTTATTCAATGGTTGTAGTGGTCTAGTGCTCTAATAGCCATTTTGGGAATGTTAAATAACTTCGATATTGTGGGCAATTTTGAAATGCTCAAGTGGACAATATACTAACTCACTAAAAGCCCTGCAGTAAATTCATGACTATCTTTGGCCATTTTACTGATACATACTGTGAAATGGTCAAATATATACAAAACACAATAATAAAATAAGGGATGTGATGCATTATAACTTCACAATACATGAAAATGTCACTGATAATGAATTGACAAAAATGTAATTTCTAAGCAAAATAAATAATTTATAATAACAATTTGAAATGTGTTGATTCAAAACATGTTTTCCCTTTTCCCCCAATTATGTAGCGCCTACCTCTTTGGGCGCTCGTGGCCATTCGTATTTACTAGTCTGACTGTAACCCAAAAGAGCCCTTCCTGATCCTCATAAATTATCGTGACCACTTAAACATTTCAAAATCACCCAAAAAATCATGATGGTTTAACTACAGCCAGACAGAAGCGTTGTAGTGACATATTTATCTAATTTCTGACTTTAATATCCAGTTGTAATTTGAACATGTAGAATTTGACCATAATGTGAACGAGATATCATTTTTTTATCTTTTAAAACTTTTTACTGAGAATGTTGTGATCGTTGAAACCCTTGAGTACTTTGTGGCAACCTCGCCAATTGGAGCGCCTGCAATCCCTCCGAACACCGATAGAAAGCATTCATGCCTGCATGTCACAGGTTTAGGAGTTGAAGGCGCTAATTGTACACTTGATTCAGCCACTGTTGCTTATTTACTACTTCATTGCTTTGATTGATGCTATGTAATTGTGTGCATTTTTTTGTCATTTAATTTGCATTAAAATATGATAGCTATAACATATATTGTAACACAAATTTAATTTGACTTAAATATATTGTGCCTTTGTAACATTTTACTATGACTCCTAGGTACTTAGTAGATATTCCATGTAATGGCCAGCAGCAGCGAATTTTTAATTAAAAAAAAGAAGTTAAATGGGACACTCACAAAATGGCCGCAGCGAATTTTTAATTAAAATAAAAACAGTTAAATGGGACACTCACAAAATGTGTTGCTGTCATCTTTGATCCTTAAATCCTTTTATCCTTGGAATGTTCAAGTTATCTACAAATACTGTTTAGGGTTAGGGTTTCTTAGTGTGGTTAGAACCAAGGATTACCTAAACTTGAGTTGATGAATTTTGTTTATTGTTAAGTACAACTTCTATAGTTGTGATTTAGTGAAAAATATCCACAATTTTTATTTTGCTGATTCACAATCTTTGTTACAGGAGATCAGGGAGCTCCTCAATGACTTCCCAGTGACCAAGATCACGGTGACATCCGGGGCAGGTTCCTCGATGGCCAGGGCGGAGCTGGAAGATCCGGAGATGCTGGAAGAGTGGGACCGTGACAGGACGTTCCTTCTGCGTGGACAGTGTGTACCCGTGTGTCCTGCGGCGACAGAGATGATGTTGTGTGTGGCAAACCTACCTCTGGACTATACGGAGGAACAGTTCAATGCTCTAGTCAAATCATGTGGGGAAGTCAAACGCAGCTTCCTCATGATCAGCGAAAAGACTGGTACGTCACAGAACAGATTCAATGCTTTTTGTCTTTTTGTTCATTCTCTGATTGGTTAATTTTCACCTAAACGAAATTTTCAAATTTTATAATGTTTCCTATTTGTTACAAAAGATAATAATACTATGTTCGCTGTTACTATAAAGATTTATAATTTTTACTCTCAATTGGGAAAAGGAAGGTTTCAATTTGAGAACGACTTCTTCAGTATGAACAGCTTATGTAAAATAATCCATAGCGCATGAGCTGTTCTATGGATGAACGAAAGTTTGTTCTTTTTCCTTAAGCTTTTCACAGTCTAAATGTAGAAAGCTTATAAAGTCTTCCTAACTTAACATGATTATTTTTTACTATATTTGTTATATTTTTAACTTTATTTAAAAAGATTATATAGCAACTTAACAATTTGTGACTCCTTCTGTAAAGTGTATTTATTTTTATTCATTAATCCTTATTCATATCCAGAAATATCCACAACCCCAGGTTTTTTAATAAGTCCCGAAAGAAGTGTAATAAGTTCAAACAGAAATGTAGTAAAAAAATTGAAAAATGTACCTTTCAAATAATTACTTAAGATTCTGTATTAGAATGTTTGTCTAGCAGTTACAGAACACTTTTTTATTCCACATCCTACACTAGTCTCTAGTTCGGAACCGTTTAACACTTTATTTCAGTCTAAAGGTGTGTTTTTTGCTAGAGGGTTTGGCATCATCACATGGCTAAATCCATTGGTGGTTGGCAGGATTTGAATCCTGACCTTGGGATAGAAGCCCTGCTCTAATAAGCTAGACCTGCTCTCTCCCCAAACATTAAAAACTAACACAACTAGACAGGGTAGTATTAGCGCAGCATTAGTCAGCTTCTCCATGAATTTGGACATAAGTTTATTTTGGTGCCATTCAAAGCTCTTTCAGGACAATTTTGGCAAACCCTTCTATTATTTATCAGCCAATAAGATAGAGGACAGACAATTCTGTCTTTTGAGCTACATACAAAAGTGATAAAACATTAAAGCCAATAAATGCAAAGGCTGAGCACATTGATGATATCTAAACTGTCTGAGTTGGACCAGAATCAAGCAAGTCTGGCAATGTTGTCGTAAAAGAATGGGGTCCCTGTTGTTCATTCTAGTTTTACTGCTTTCTTTATTATCTGTAGCAAATATATTTATTACTGAAAACTTTGTTTAGAACTGTCAACAGAAACATCAAATGGGATTCAAAAATAGTAAAATAAAATTGCCATATTATGTTTTTGATATTTTATTTTTAGTTTGTTTTTTTATATACTGTGAAAACTCATATTCTGTATAGCTGGGTAGCTCAGTGGTTTAGTGCTCGCCTTGTAATCAAAAGGTCACTGGTTCGATCCTGAGGAAAGTGTGTAGCTTAATGATGGCTCAAAACTGGACCCAGCTGTTTCTAATCATTGGTCTTTCAATAAATGACCCTTACTAATAAAACACCTGATATTAGTCAGTAACAAAGCTACACTAGGCATCACACTCCATTCTACACTCATCCTTCACTCATATTTTGGTTAAAATATCTATATCAGTGATGTCCCCATCTCAATGATAATGATAATAATAGTTTCCTATTTTATCTATTTTTTAAACAAATAATATAGTTTTGTGAAACTTGTTCATTGAAATTAAGTCAGTATGGTTCAAGCAGTTGTGTGTTAACAAACCTGAATAACTTCTTGGTCATTAAAAAAAAAGAAATTTCTTTTACAAATCAATTGCAAAGTTGCTAGGGCCAACTTTACAAGATTTTTTCTTAGAAACCTTGGGTAGAAACTGTTTTGCAATATCGATATTTTGGATGCATTCATCTTCCTATTTACACCAATTTCATTTTCTAGGAGAAAGCAAAGGTTACGGGTTTGTTGAGTACAAAAGTAGAGAAATTTCACTACCAGCAAAGAACGTCCTCGACAGGCAACAGATCAACAACCACACGCTTGTCTGTGATTGGCTGGACTCGAGCCACGTTACATTTGAATCACTCCACTCCAAGTGCCTGTTTGTAGACCGTCTTCCAAAAAACTTCCGTGACATGAGTGAATTTCGCAAGATATTTTCATCGATTGTCAACCCTCCATATTGCCAAGTAAGTTTTACGGGCTCTTTAATCATGTGTTGACATGCTGTATTTATGCTTATTATAAATAGTTGTAGTAAAGAAACTGCTTTAAGGATAAAAAACATTTTTTTCAGAGTACCCAGACTCAAGCGTAAAAACCATAAAATTGTGAATCACTAATAAATACATTAAAAAAACACAAAATGTGAATTATTTTGAAAACAAATATGTAATTCCTAGAAATTAAAAATAATTACCCTCTTCAATATGACTTTATCTACTTTATTAACTTTTAAGTGTCAATGAAAACAGATAACCAACAAATCCCTAGCTCTATAGGTTGATATCTTTGTTTTCAGATTGCCCTGAAGCACGGGTGTCCACAGGATTGGGGGCTTGTAGAGTATAGTAACTGGGAAGACGCAGAGGCTGCGCAGACTTCACTCAATGGGTACAATCTGCACGGTGAAAACATCAGGATCAGTTATTACATTCCTGGAGTGCGGGCTATCAACCTCTATCTGCAGCTGCTTAATGATGCGGTCAGTGCAAACTAATCGGCAACTTTTGACTTATTTAATAGAACATAAAGAGCCTATACAAAGTGTGCCATCTGAGTCTGTCAATGGCTCTAACTTCCTCATGTCTTCCCATTCTTCTTTTTTTTATGTTTTATTTTAATTTTTGTTTGTTTAATACTGTGAAAAACTCATATACAGTAGACTCCCTCTTATACGGACACCTTTTAACCGGACATCGGTTTAACCGGACTACACTCGGCGAAAATGACATCTCTTTAACCGGACAATTTTTATCAGCACATTGGTTTACCCGGACTAGATCGGCAGGAAGTGGGCAGTACTGAAACAACTGTTCTCATGGGAAAGATTTGTTACCAGTGATCAAGTTGTCTAAATACAATGCTCTCCTAAATTTAAGTCAAAATTGTTGTTTTTACTTGGTGTGTATCTACAGTTCTTCATATTTAACATTAGGCTGAAATGTATCCAAGCCACAGGTTGTACTGCTTTCCAAAATTAATCTTAAGGCTGTTATCAAAGGTGTATAGACCACAGTTTTTATGCAGTGAAAGCACTTTTTACAAGGTAATTTGTTTGGGAAGATTGTTTGTGGGCTTTACTCACCTTTATTTGAGTCTATATCTATGGAATCAAAGTCCGACATTTTGCGGAACTCGAAAAACCTCCCGCTTCCTGTGGGTTGGAAAAAAACTATTTTTATCCTGCACACGGGTCGAACGCCTAATTATGACTGCTAGAGCTGTTGAACTTGGAAGTGGACGGGTAGGGGTGGGGGTACATTGTCGATTGGAAATAAGCCATTCACGCCCATGCCCTATCTCCTAGATTATCCAGAAGTTCGCCTTTAACAACTTTTAAATACACCGTACTAATATCCACCAGTGGTCGTGAAAGAGCGACTCTGCCGATCCATTTCCTCCAATACAACTTCTTGTATAGAATTTTAGATTAACTCCATTCAACAATATCGTTTATATCTTTGATGAATACTTATCTTTATCTATAACTTTTTTTATGTGCACATTTATTCACACTTTGGTATACAAGTTTGACCCACGTAACTTCTGCCACAAGAACAAGGAATTGTGTAAATTAGATTTTTGTGTTTTGTTGCTCGTTATCAGGTTTTAATTAGGTGACACAACTGTAAGTGTTATCTTTATTTTAAAAAACGGTTCTTGTATTTAGCACTCATATGCCTTAGTTTTTCAAAAGTATTCTTTAAATACGGAATACATACATATATCAGGGGTTTTATCTTGGTGCTGGGATCTTTTGGACTATTGACTTTATATTTAAATTCTTTAAGGCCAGTTGTAGAGATGTGTTTTATGTTTATATTTTCTTTCTAGTTTTAATCATTCATCTGTACTACAGATAGATTCAGCCTGTTTAATAAAATCGATGGCTAGGGCGGTCTTGACGTTTGTTTGGGTGGTTGGAGGAAAAGTTGAGTTGAGGCATAGCAGTCGGTTTCCTGAAAACACTAATACTAGAACCCTGTAACTGTTTCTGGACTAATACGTCTAGAAACGGTAATCTATTGTATTTTTCCAATTCAATTGTTTCCTCAAATTTTAAAAGCTTTCTATCTATTTTATTTTTTTTTACGTTTATGTTTTTTTTTTTCAAATTAATATAACTTGCATTTTATTATTATTAATTGTTTTCAGGAACCTAAGGGAAGATCTACTGGGCTACTTCCTGAACCAACTGGTCAAGCCATCGTGCAAAATCTTCAAAACCTTTTCAAACAGAATCCTATTTGTGAGTACCTATTATTAATTATTCCTTGGATATTAAATTTGAAATCTTAGCTTATGCAAGTTGTGATCCTAGAAGCTGCATTCATATGGAAATTGAAATCTGAATATAAGAAAGTTGTGTCATCTATAACAGGATGTTTTTTTTAAACACAACCCTAATTACAAGTTGGATAACGTGTTGACTGAGTCCTTACCCCTCAATATGTTTGTTAGGTTAGTATTCTTTTAAACAACACTTTAGATCAAACTGTATGTTTTTTGTCAAAAATATTTATCTAATTATGAGTTTTCATTTTCATCTATGGTTTCAGTTGCACAAAACCTGCAAAGTATAATTGCCAGTCAAATACAAGCGGCTCACAGTGGTGAAATGCCTCCAGACCCTAAAAGGGCATCTCCCTTAGTTACTATGCCGGGTAAGTACAGTACATGAAAACTTTCTAAAACATTGCTTAGTATGTTTAATTATTGTCAATGCTGAGGTAAATGTTTTACTACTCATATTTTGGAGTCTGTGATTGTTTGATCAGGGCTGCTTTTATAAATTGGCCCGGGCCCCAAGAGGTTTTAGGTTTTTTGGGGGCACAAAGAGGGGACAAATTTAACCTCAATGTAGGTGGAGAGAAGCGCAATTATCTCTCACTTTCATAGTGCATCACTTGCAAACCATGGGCCTGTGTTTAATTAATTTGTAAAAAATGTGTGTGTCACGATCAAATACCAACCCTAGGTAAAGGGGCCTCACAATGTGCTTGTTAAACACTCACATTGTGGAGTAAGCATTTTGTGTGGACATTGATCAAACTGAATACATCGTGGGTATAACATATTGGCTCAATTGCTCAAGTGAACACTTTTTCTCATAACATTTTTGTGGCAAGTGTTTGTATTTTAAATCCATCCTGAGCTGTGCATATTTTTCAATTTTGCACAAATTCCTAATTTATTTCAACAAACCTAATGTGCATGTTCAGACAAGGAATTTTAAGTGCATCAATTCCTAAATATTTCAGGCTCTTTAAGTGGTCAAATAAAGGTATCTATTGATGATTCAAGCATATCTATTAATCACTTTATTATTTAGACTTAAAACAACAAACAATTTTGATTCTCTCCCATTAACATGTTAGTAGACTTAGCTAACAACATCATATTGCAATATTAATAACTTTTTCCGATGATCTCACTCATTCTGATTGCTACAAAATAGTTGATGGTTTGTTTAGAATTTTTTCATTGTGATAAAAATAGCTGCTTTGTTATGAATGAGCTTCAGTGGAGGTGGCAGCCTCCAAATAGGTATTGATATCTGTATTTAAGTTTCCTATTTATCCTCATCCAGGAATCAGAAAAATGGGTGACTACAAATCTATTCAATCTAGCCTCAACTGACTAACTTATATATGTGTTTTGTGTTGTTTGTTTTTACCTGATGCCACTGATATTAAATGGTAAGTTAAGGAGAACTTTTATTGTTCAGTAATTATATATTTGTTTACAGATCCAGTCAGGAAACCGATTTATTCTCCATCAGGAACAGAGCTTCGAAAATCTCCCACCATCCCACCACCGCCACCACCAGGGCCTAGTCCACCGTTGTTCCTCAAGCCCACCCCTCCCCCACCGACCAAGGTATTTAGTCTTATATAACTAAATATATAATCTTAAAGATATATATAGATTCAGATTAAGTCATATTCAACATATTATAAATTATCACCTTCAAAGTTGTTAACAGCCAGTATCTTTACTCTAATAGTCTTATTTTACCTACAGATACCATTGCTGCCAAATCCGTCGATGGCTCCCCCACCCTCGAGAAGGTTAAGTCTCAGTCCCCCTGCTGGAGAAGTTGCTCCGCCTCTGCCTGTCGAAGAGGAACCCTCCCCCAGCTACTGGGCGGGACTACTGGGACAGCTAAGAGGAGGTCCTCCTACACCCGTCTCCTTCCCTGTACCTCCTCCCGAACCACCGAGTCACCCCTACAACATGCCTCCTCCCAATTTCATTCGAGAGCATGCTCCTAATATGCCCGTAGAGTTGCACCAGAGTCTCATAAGTCTCCTCAGTAATCCTCAGAACCTACAACAGATCTTAACCAATTTACATTCCCTGGGTCAACCAGCCTCAGCCACACCTACCTTCACATATCCTGGCATCAACCCGATGGATCCGTCCTGGCCAGTAGCCCCGCCTCTACCTCGCTCTCTACTCACAGTTTCTCCCAAACCTGTCAATTTGCCACCTCCGGTGTTCCCCACATGGGCTCCTACGTTCCTTCCCCCCTCCCCTCAACCTGTGTTCACTCCCTTCGGATCTCCGGGCATCATTTGGTCACAGGCCTCACCCATGGTCTCTCCGCAGCCTAACCCTATGATGACTCCTATCGGTCAGAAGAGGAGGTTGTTACCCTCGCCCGAGCCTAGTCCAGAAGGAAACTACATTGGTCAACATTCTCAGGGACTTGGCGGACATTATGCCGATTCCTACTTCAAGAGAAAGAAGAAGAACTGAGTTATTTTAAGTGAATTTCGCGTTTAGGGGAGAAGTTATTATTTTAATTGTACATATACTTTTATGTACCTCAAATTTACAGTCAGGTGCTTTGCTGCCCACAAGAGTCAGACAACTGTTTAAAGCCTTAATATCTCATGATCTCGAGTTATTATTAATTTAAGTAACAGCTAGATTCAGCTGTGACGTTATAGGCATTAACTAGATCCTATTAAGTAAGTGCCTTCCTCATTTGTGATCATTACAACTCGTGTAATAGGATTTTATTGTTATTATTTTTTACGGTTTGACGTTTGTCTTAAGTTTATTTATTGTGAGAAATAAATTTAAAGTTTTGTTACAGAAGGTGGGATCGGTATTATTTTTGCCTTTATCGATCACAGTACTTCAACTTTGATCAGTCTTATACTTCTTCTGTTTCTGTCATTTAGGGAATGGGGAGGTACAGGTTTTGATGGCACATGGGGCTCAGAATGTAAGAAATCAGCTTTTGTCGTGCTTAAAATATATTTTTATAAATATTGCTATCCTCAAATCAGCATGACTTAGTTTTCCATAAGTGTACTATATTTGATAATTATTTATATAAATATATTCGATTATAGGCTATACATATAAATATATATATATTCATACAAATGTCTGAAGCTGCCTTATTGAGCACAATGGTGCATGACATTCGTAAATTTTACTCACCGAGGCTATATAAAAAGCTATAATATTAATAATACTCAATCACTAGGCCTCGAATAATCTCAATCTAAAGCACAACACATTGCTTATCGTGAGAAATGAATTGTGTGCAAAGCCTTTACTGTATAAACATATGCCTTAAGCCTGCAGTGTGTTAGTATGGTCTATTATTTTTATTCTTAAAAGTCTGTTGATTTTCCTTCCGTTACTTGTTCTTTTTCTGTCCAGGTGTTTGTTAATTTCTTTTACGTTCCTTATTTTAATTAGCCTGTTTATTCTTTTATCATGACAGTGTTATTATTTATTTCCTGTTGTATTTTGTTTTAACTTTTTTGCACGATCAGTTTTATTTTAGATTTTGATTACTGGTTCAAACTGCAAGCATAAATATTAATCAGTGTGGTTCTGATCACACCATTATTTGTATGAAGAAATACTTTGTACTTAATTGTATGCAATGTTGTGGAATACTTATAAATCAGGATCGTGGCATTTTCAATCTTTGCTACATTGGTCATGCCCAATCACTGAAATGTATTAGATCGATCCAATTCGGTGTTGATATTGTTTTATAACGTATATGTATAATATGTGTACTTTAATCATTGATGTTTATTCAAGATTTTTCATTTGATTTTTAACCATAATAAACATAAAAACTCTTGTATTATTAAGAAATTTTGCAATGATTGTGATATCAGTTTCATCTCTTGCAAAATCGACACTCTAGATTCCCAATAATCTAAACCAAAAAATAATTTATAATTAATAGTTTAAATATTATTTTCACTGGTCGAGGGATAAGCATTCATAAAGGGTTGGCAAGAGGCTAGTCTGCTATTGCCATTTGTTTGGATTAATGGGTATCTAGATTGTATATTTATCTTTTTTGATGGAATAGTCTAAGTAAAAAATAGTGTTATATTATTTTACAGTTTAAATAAATGCATGGTTCTGAAGTTAGGTCATGCTTCCAAGAAACTTTAAATTGTATAAAAGTAAAAATATATATATTTTTCTTAGAATAACTCTCTTTTTGTAGCTTTACTATTTTCGTACTACATATTATAATATACTATAAACATTATGATAGTAATATTGACTCTAAGTGATATTGTATTCATCATATAAGCATTTTAAGTATTTTTTGAGTGATGTCAAGTTTGTTCTGTTGTTTTTTTAAATGTGTTTTGCCGCACTATAAAATGAGTGCAAGGATTTATACCAGATTCATTTACAACCCCTTAACTGCCCTTGTTATTTGCATCACCCGTTAGCTCTAACTGATTTCTAATTTCCAAACCAAGATATTACTAGTACTAAATTCCAACTTAGGTTAGTTGCTTTCAAAGTGATATCTTATTTATGACCACTATTCTAGTTACACTATCCACATAATTATAACCGTATATTAAATCAAAGATACAAAACCTGGTTCTTGCTGTCTACAAGAAATGTTACAAAGACTGTTAAGGGGTTAAAAAATTGTTCAGGGATTTTTTTCCTGGTCCCTAAATATAATTGCAAAGAGTTGTTTTAGAAAGCCTGAGTTATAATAATAAGCTGTTCATAATTTTATCTCACCGTCCAGTTTTATTTTATTTAGAAAACTAGTTCATTTGTTTTTTTTTCTTCAGAGCACATTACAAGGCAATGGAATTTGAACCATCAAAGTTTTCCTAGATTATGATTTGTTGGAAAAAATTAACATATTGCATGTCTGCCCTTATCACTGTGAGCAGTTTATCCATAAGTATAGCATTGAGCTCAATCTTAATAGGTGTAATTATGTACTACGTTTTTCTAAACTAAATGGGTATGGTGATATGAATTTTCTAAATGTGCACTTAAATGCTGTTGACATTATTTTTAATCTAAATATCATATATAACAAGGTACTTTTTTCCATCATTTTACTCTCTTTATCTGTTAGTGATTTTCCCATATAGAGAATAAGCTATTACCGTAGGTCACATGGGATAATGGACCCGGGACTGATTTACTTTATCCTTTTAATGTTTCCAGTAGAACAAAAAATTCATTCAAATTCATTTATATACAAGTAAATGACTTGTAAACTCTACGTTAGCACGGTAGAGTGAAAATCATTCTATTGAAATTTGATGCAAACAAGTAAAACTACAACAGAGATTATGAGGGGTAAAAATTGGTTTATCCTATTTTTTTAATAAAACATAAAATTTATTGTTTTCTTTCTAGACCACTTTGTAGAGATAAAAAAAACCATGTTGTAAATTGAAGCGTTGTGGTACGGCGTTGAAGAGTGGGAGTGATCGGCAGACTTCGGAAGTGATCAGAAAGAGTAGGTAGTGATTGGCAGGGGGGAGTGAATAGCAGACACTAGGAGTGATTGACAAATGCACTAAAATTAGCAGTATTTTTGTTAGGTTCCAAAATAACAGCTGTTTTTAGAAGCCGTTCAGTTATCCGGCACCACTAAAGGTATTGAACTGCAAGCGTGCAGTATTAAGTGCATTAGCAAGCGTCTACACCGTTCTTGGGTTTTTTTGCTCCGACAGCGCAAAACACAACTCAAGGGAAAATCACTACTCAATCCAACTTAAACACTTTTTTACTTGTTTAAAATACATACCCAAATTTTTTTAAAAAATTAGAGAATAAACCGAATTTTGGAGTTTCAGCACCTATATAAATATAATAATTAAAACCAAACTTATCTTCTAATGCAGGCTAGGGCAAGAACATGTTACAAGCCACAAAAAGAACAAATATTTTCTTGAACAAATAATGTACTTTTCTTTCTTAAAACGAGGACACGAGGGAATTTAAATAATATTCAAGATCAAAAGTCAACACCATACCTCAGAAAAATAGAGGTCGTGCGGAACGAGGTGAAGCCTGAGATTTTCGGCGGGAACGGTCTAAAGTGGGGAAATCCATGGTGGGGGTAGGAGACGAGCCGATCGTCGCCTCGCATAGCGACACTTCCCCCGCCACACCACTATTCCCCTCCAAGCTTCACCTCGTTCCGTACGACCTATAAATGATTGAAGCTTGGAGCAATACAATATGCACAAATCATAGTGTAGCCTATATGCATCAAATAACTGTAGTAGGGAGGGACCAAAATGTTTGTTGTATACTAACTTAAAAGTTGAACATTTGGAAGTTGAATACATATTGTGTAAACTTAAACGATGCTTTAATATTTTAGAATACACTATTATTACTGAATAAGGTTACACTTAGTGTAGGTATATTAAAATTTACCGATAAACTGCAAGAAATGTTTAGAACATAAATAGATTGAAGACTTATTTGCTCACCGTATCTTTTATATTTATGTAATTGAAATATTTCCTTGTATCGTAAATGTACATAATAGTTTGTTTTAGTTTTTTTTAACAGTTCAGAAAATCATTATCACTTCGTAAGTGCTTTCTGTGTAATATTTTTGCTACCACTATCCTTTTGTATCTGTTCTATTTGAATGCATATTTCATTTACCGTTTTATTTTGCTTATGTCATATTATTTTGTTGAATACAGATAAATATTAGTTGGTAAAAAATAACCATATTTTTATTTTCACCTCTTCAAATCTTGTCTGTCAATAAAAGGTGCAATGTGGCCACCTGGCTAACCATCAACACCACTCATGTTCTAACCTATATATTTAAACTTTCATTGAAGTCTTTCCTTAAAAATGGTTTTGTGGTTTAGTTAATCTTCCAACTATACAATTCAATCAGACTTATTTCTTAAATTTATCTGTCTTTACATTATGACTGGAGAACTAAGGTAAGTCCTAGTTTGCCACCAGCGGGCAAGACTCTATAAGAAGTGGCACTTATTTACACTACTTACTATGTAGCCACTTTCTACTTTCTAAGCAATGAGGATTTTTACAGCTACTACTCCCACTACTGGAATAAATTAATTCTAGGGCATCGTTCTTGATAAGTGCTACTCATTGGATTCTAATGACAACAGACTTGTGCTAATATTAAACCGCTATAAAAGTCACAATCATACTCCCTTGTAAACCTTGGCATACCTAACCTCTGTGAAAAACTGTAATTGCAAGGCTCTAAATCTTGTCCATTGAAATTCTACCCCCTAAAAAACGTTAGAGAGAATATTTAGAGAGAATATTTTCCTCAAATCAAAGTCACGTTTTAAAGATTAATTTTATGAACAAAAGTAATTGTAAAATATTGGATAACCTAGCATGTATACAAATTTAGAGGTTGGTTTACACAAGTATACAAGTAGATAGATTGGGGGCAACTGTCATGCTTGTACATTTAAAATTGAACTGAGAGGATGGAAAATTGGATTTGCTCTGATTAAATTCACAATTATAACTAGATACGTCATTGACTTCCACCGCTGATTTATTTAACTTCTAATGACCAACTCGAATGGTCATAATCGTAACCCCCTTCCTTCTTTGGCTGTGACTAGTTTCTAAGTCTCTTTTTTTTTGTCTTTAGGTAACCCATTTATTGTAGCAAACTGACGATGGATGATTTTTACGTGTTAGCGAAACATAGGTCTTTAAAACTATACAGGGTGGCTGGTCATAAGTTTTGCAAAATTTTTTGAGAGTAAGTACAAAGTAAATGAAGTTTGATGATGCATATAAGAGGTTCCAAGTCTAAAAATTAGCTCTGCAAAGAATTATTTTAAGATTTTAAATAATACCGTAACCATGTTTTTAAACACAATACAGCAGTTTCTCAATTACTTGTGAATTGATTTGAGTAGATGATGTCATTTTCGTGTTCTACATTAAATTTTGAATAAGAATGATACTTAACGATAGAGAATCAATAGTAAAAACTCTATTGTAAATAAATAGTTCTAAAGATTAAAATTAAGATTTATGATACAAATAAAAAAAAACCATTATTCTATAGCATTTTTCTACACCCTGTATACAAGAAGGTATGTTGAAAAATATGCCATTTTATAAGCTTTCCAACCATAGGCTACACTACACTATTTAGCCAAAGTTCCCTGTTTTCTAGTATTCAAACCATTATTAAAACAAACAAAAGCAGATCTAAACCTCAGCACAAGGTAAAAGTTATAGGGGCACCCAAATGCTAAATCTGGCCCTGTCCATCCTTGGTCAAATCTGTATACTACCAGCAAGTGGTAGCCATTTAGCAAATTAGAGACAAAATTACAATTTTAGCATTTGCATGTTGATTTGAAAAGGGGTCATACATTACATTGGTTTTTGTGTATGTTGTTATTGCTTGTTGACTAATGGTCACACTACTAATTGTACAAAATGACTATTAAATAAGCATAAATAGCTCTCAATGCAAATTTCAATTCTTATCTTAATGTTCTCCTAACAAAGTAGGTAAAAAATTCCATCCGCTTCTAGAATGAGCAAAAAGAATCAAGCGAACCATGTTTCTGGTGCTCCAAATACTTTAGTCATCTAATAGCTGAGAAGAGATAAGGAAAAAAAGTCTTTGGACTCCAGGCAAATCACAGTCCCCAACCTGACTGTCAATTCCTATTTGGAAGACTGCAAATGTGACGGCAGGATAAAAATTACGCCATGTCTCATATTTTTGCAAGATATTTGATGTTATTTCCAATAAACAAATAAAATACGTAAGACATTTTAAGTACCAAGGAAAGTATGTTAGTAGCAGTAAATAAAGTAAAGTGAGTAAATAACTTAAAATCTTTAGTGAAAACAAAACATTAATAAATCAGACCAACATTTACAGGATAATTTAATTTACTAAATCCCATTTCATTCATTGCACGAAAACGACCAATGAAACCTACTCGGTACTATCATCGATTAAACCAACGGAGTATCCTTCGTTTGTGCTCCAACAGAAACAAAGATATGGAGCATTCGAGATGGACAAAGTCAGCAACACAATAACGAGATGACGAGACCAGAGATCGGGAAACGTAGCAACCACAGTGCTCTATCGGCCATCATGATGGTGATGCGGCAATGACTTCGTAAACAAATAATTCATACAGGGAACAGTCATTCTCTCTTAACCAGAATACTAAAAGATGTTAAACACCAAATACACATTACTTTATAAATGTAATTTAACCAAGCTTGATAATATACAATGAATGTTTTCTTATTTTAAAAAGATTCTTACTAAAAATGAATGATAAAATTAATATGTTATTCCTTGGGATTGCCTCCTCCCCTTCCCCATGAAACAGCTAGCTGGTCTCAATTTAGAAACCTTGGGTCAGGTGTGCCCATCCCCCCCAAGCTCACGTCGCATAACCCCCCCAAATTCTTTGTTTATGCCGGGAGGTCTGGGGGCTAACCCATAGTTATAATGCAGGGGGGGGGCAACACTTCTTTAGGTTACGCTGCAAATTTATGGGAATTTAAGCTATTGAATCATATACTTTTAACCCAATTTAAATGGACAAATTTGCTATACAACTCTAGTAGCAAACTATTTGTTAGTTTAATTTTACTTTAAATGAGTTGAATTTTCATAAAATAGCTGGACAGTTTGCTTCCGGTAACCCAATTTATATTTTTATAGCACCATAGTTAATCACCCTAAACATCTCATATAGTTTACATTTGATACTGCACCAACAATTATTTTCATAGAAATGTAAAAGACAAATAAGTCATCAGGAGCAGTTGAAAGAAGTAAATAGCTTAAACTTCAACAACGTAGATAGCTTATACAACCAAAAGTCCTTTAGTAGCACTGTATTTAATTTAATGTATGCATAATTTATTAGTAGGATCTATTTGAATTTTCAGTAAAATTACTTTACGTTAATTAGTAAATAAGTAACATAAAGTATAATGGTAGGCATAGTAAAGTAGTCAAGTAAGTTAAAGGGGTTAGATTTCCTGTTAGCTTGTCCACAAGCGTTTAGCATGGCATGGATTGGATAAGCAGTGAGAGTAATTTTGATCATTTATTGGGAAGGAAGAGCACAAAAAATGCAATAACTTTAAAACCGCAATTTTTACAGCAATAGGGCCTGTGTAATTTATTTTGTAGTTAAAAAAGACTATAACATGCACACAATTTGAATCAAAATTGACCATGTAGTTTTTTAAAATCCAATTTTCCCATGGTGGAAGGAAAATGCATAGGTGTGCTATACCCGTCAATTGATGACGTCACCCAGATTGCAAACAAAAAATCTGCTGATGTATTGCCATATAAGTATATATTTGTATTGATTGTTATTGTTTTTATAATTTTTCTAAATGATAAAATGGTGTTTGCAATCTGAGTGATGTCAGCATATGACGGGAATAACACACCTATGTATTTTCCTTCCACAATGCAATTTTCCGTGATTAATAGGTTTATAAAAGGGAAAACCACAAAAGTTGCAATAACACTTTTGAACCGTAATTTTTATAGCAATAAGGGTTATACCATTTTGTTCAGAGTCATCAAAGAGTTTTTTTTTTTTTTTTTATGGTAGAGGAGGGAAAATGCTTTTACGCACAAAGGTAGCCAGCCTGTAGTGTGAGACTCCTGAAACTATCACAGACTTCTCACTAAAAAACCCCTCTACTCTGTTGGACACAGACCTGGAATTGTTTGTCACATTACTTCAAGTCAAGCCAACATGTGACCTAAGCCCTCAGGGCTCTCACCGTTTTTGGCATTTAGATACTTTATGACCTACACCGCATCCCGGTCAAGGTCGAGCTTCTTGGCGCGGAGAATACCCTGGATGTAATGTGACACACAGGTCCAATTGTCCTCACCCTCCGTCATCATCGTTATGACCGTGTCCACTGACAGCAGTCATACTGACTGTTGAGCCTCCAGGCGGGGCTTTTCCCAACGCTGGCAGTGGAGAAAGGTATGTTCCACGTCATCGGGAATGCCTGGGCAGTATATGCAATTGAGTGACGCGGCTTTGCCCATCCTGAAAAGGTACGAGCGGAAAAAGCCATGACCCGTCAGAAATTGGGTATAGAAGTCCATCTCTCCGCACCGCCAATTAACCCAAGGTTGGACTTGCTGTATCAGTCGCCTGGTCCAGTGTCCCCGAGTCTCCTGTTCCCAGCTCTCCTGCCACAGCTGGTAGGTGCGGGTGCGTTCCTCTGTTCGTGCCTGGTCCTCCCCACGGCGCTACTTACTTTCCGTGTCCGGAAATCAGACTTCGCTTTTCCAAAAATTAGCTACCGATATGGCTTTGTCATTCGCATGTAAAAGATCATCTAATTTGTAAGACTGATCTAGGCGTGGGTAGATCAGCAGATGGCCAGGATCCTGAACAGCACCACACGCGCACAAGAGGTTTTCTTCGTCTGGTAAGAGTCCCCATTTCTGCATGTTTGTCTTGCATTTTGGTACCTCAACCCTAATTCGATTTAGGGTCTTCCACACCGTGTAATGAAGGCCTCCACCAGGAGCCAGTTCCTCCCTGGCTGGTATGGGAGGGTTAGTCAACGTGGCCTCCCACCTTGCCACCCGATTGCTTGAGAGTGATCCATCCAGGACTCGTGTCCGTAATAAAAAGCTCTTTCTGGACTGAAGCCGTCGCTCTGCAGGTTGGTGGTCGTGTAATGGGTGACGAGGGTCTGTCTCTTGCTTAGTCCTTTCTGTGTTGGCAGCGACATCACGTCGGATTGATGGAGGGGAGATCCCTATGATAGGATAGAGTTTGTGTACTGGGGTTGGTTTCAAACACCCAGTTACAATCCGAGTCATGTCATGGACTGCAATGTCAACCTTTTTTGCATGTGACGATGCATTTCATACTGGTGCAGCGTACTCCGCAGCCGACACACTGAGCGCTAAAGCTGAGGTTTTGAGGACATTATGGTTAGCACCCTAGCATCAGCGCTGATAAATTGCCATTCTCTCCGCTGCCAAAAGTTTGACGGGGATGACTCCAGCAACCACCAGGATGGCGGGTTCGAACACTGTTCGGTAGGCGGATGCAACTCTTAGTGCTGCCTGAAGCTGCACTGGGGCGAGCCGCATCCTATATACCTCCTTATTGAGAGCGTCTGCCCACACCTCAGCACCGTACAAGAGTACAGACTGGACAGAAGACATTAACAGCCTTCTACGGCTGGACCGAGGCCCTCCGACACCGGCTAAGAGAGGAGACTACCCTAGCGGTCTTGTCCGCCGTACGGAAAATCTGATATCGGCAGCTAAGCTTGCTGTCCACCATTACCCCAAGGTACTTGGCAGAACAAATGGTCTGGACTTCGACGGCCCCTACCCTCAACGGCACGATGGTGTCAATCCGTTTTTTTGTTAATATCACGATCTCAGTTTTGCTCAAAGCAAGCGAGAGACCGTGGTCTGTCATCCATGCGTTTATGGTACGCATAACTCGGTTCAACTTTAGCTGAGCCAGCTCAACGCTACGTACAGCTATCAAAACTGCAACGTCGTCTGCGTACCCAACCAAAAAGAGTCAAAGAGTGTTAATTTTTAATCAAAATCATTTGGGCCAATTCTGAGAAAATTTTATTTGTCCATTATTTTATAGGGGTTTATCGAAAATCATCATCAAAAATCTAAATAAAAAACACCTGGAGGGACAATGGATTACCTAACCTACATACCAAATTTCATCAAAATAGGACATGGAACACATGTGTGGTCTGTAGCTCTATACACATCCATACTTACATCACTTCGAAAACCACTTTTTTTGGATCTGGGGAACCCAAAACTCAAACTCATAAATTTTTACATAAACAATTCTTTCACCATATTAACTTGTAGGGGGAGAAAGTAAAAGTTATGTCAAAAAGTTTGAGATATTTTGAGATATATTGTAAAAATAGCAAAATTATTATCCATAATACTGGTTTTTATGAATAAAGTATATACCATAAATAAACCTAAACAACCATCAATAGGTCCCAAAAGTCAATGAGATTATTTGAGAATAAGTTCATAATGAACGGTAAAAACAGTCTCAAATTGCAGATAAAATTTAATAAGCCAACCATAATCCTTTGACAGCAGTTAGCAGGGAGTTGTTCTCCTTGTCAAACATGATACAAGTCAGATGATACAACATGATTCATGAACATGATACAAGTCAGCAATTAGCAGGGTTCTGTACTATAATCAGTGCAAGGAAGCCAACTTTGTCAGGTGACTGTAGGAAAAATATTTATTTATCAAAATAAAATGTCAAATGGGATTTTGATTCCATTATTACCCCAGTTGTAATTAAATTATGGAGGTCGTAAAAATTATTTGATTAATCTTTTATGTGCTAACTAACCACTGGCTTGTATCCCCTCCCCAAAATTTTCTGATAGCCCCCTGTGGGCACCCCTGCCTTGGGTACGTACCACCAGTAGAAACTCTGCACTTATGCAATCATATATTTTTTCTATTATTCTGCAAGTCTTTTTTTATTCTGCGTTTCTAAAGTTTAACTGTTTTTTATTTAGTTTTCCCTCGGGGGCCATGCTAGTGGGGAGATGTATAAGAGAAAAAATAGACCTGACAATCCTGATATATCGTCTGTCTTTGTTTTTATTTCAGAACATCTGTTTAACCATCAACAAAAAAGAACCAGTGTCATTTGATTATTGTTTAATGGTAAAAATGGACAACAAATTATTACAAATCCCTTTATTAACACTGAAAAAATACATAAAGCTTATCTTACTGATGCTATTGTCTCTTGAACTAAACCTAAAATTTAACTCTTTCAAATTCCTCCAGAGTTAGTAAAGTCATAAGATTTTGAATGATTGGAAAAAGATGTATACTATAATTTGATGTGAACATATGATTTTTATAACCTTATAAAATAAGGCACAATATTAGATAATAACAAAAAATTGCTTCAAATTTTGTTTAAAAATTATCAGTAGATTAAAATACATCCATTCATACCATCAGATTTGTATATTTTCTTCAATTAAGAAATATTGCTCAGAGATGGTGGAGCTAGAAGTATGACTCACTGGCCAGGTCACCGGCTGCCTGAGCAGCTCCAAGAACGCACAATAGACTCAAGGGATAAGACTATTAGTGTGCTTGACTGGTTCACCCCTGGTTCTGCCTCACTCTGGCATTCAACTCAGTATAGAAACATTGCTAAAATAGTTTTTAACTTAATTCTAACGTTTAAGAAACAGATACAAATTTACAATCTTAGAAACCAGGGGCGGTTCCAGGAGTATTTTTTTTTGGGTAGGCCTGACAAAGATCAAGAAAGAGTTTGATTGGGGGACGAGAGGTTTGAAGGCTTTACTCGCAAAAAGGAAGGAATTAAAAAATATAATGCAAAATAATTAGTTTGAATGCTTTCCCTTTATTTACACGTAACAAAATGTTGGGTAGGCCCAGGCCTACCTGGCCTGCCCTCTGGAGCCGCCCCTGTTACAAACTCAAACAGTAAGGAATCTTTCAAATTCTCTAACTGGACCCAAAATGTAGGCTATATTTCATTGAATATGTAATATGTATACTAAAGTACGAGGCTTGTCAGTTAATTATGGTCACTTTTCTTTTGCCTACGAATTACATAACAAACACACACTTAACTCAATTATTAGTACAGAGAACTATTTAACAGTTGGACAGTAACACTTCCTAAGCATTGTATATTTTATAAAAAGTCATAAGAGTTATAGTAGCAAAAAAGAATGGTTTTATACACCTATATTTAATTTTTCTTTCACTGTTATGTGAAGTAATTTAGAGCACCTATTAAAATATTTTATTTCATGAGTATTTTTTTCTTTTTCCAAGCAAAAATAAATATATTTAAATGAAAGGCACGAGGTGTTATTTTTTATTATGTTCATACATTTGTACTATGTATTATTATGTATTATTATTTTATTATGTATTATGAAAATATATCTTGAGCATGATATGCTTGGTTGCTTATATGTTGCAGTAACATTGACATTATTTCAACAAAGGTTCATAACAAGTAATAAACCTTAAATATTTCCAGAAATTGTGTCGTTTTGGTTGTTTCTTACACCTGTATCCGTCATAATATCTTGTCAAAACTATTTTAGGCTTATAATTCATAGTTTTAAATCAATAAAACCGTGACCTTGATTGTTATGGGGAAAATAAATTAATGTTATATTTACTTGTGGAATAATCATACTTATGGGGAATTAAGGCTTATCCTCTACAAAATTAGCATTGGAAAGATGTGAATACATTGTGAACATAGCGGCACAAATATTTAAAAATGTTTAACGTTCAGAACAACTCTAATAGAAATAAAACACAACTGTGATAACTAAATTGCATACATAGGGGAATTAAACTTCGTTAATCTTTATCAATTTTAAATTCAACATTATTTGAGTAATATATAATATATGACTGGGACGAGTGGCGTCGTCCTGTAATCCAGCTACTAGGAGGTCACGAATTGTGGATATTTATAGGCATGCACTGTGGATGCGATACTCCCTGGTGTGGATTAACATCCACACGGGTGAGTACTACGACTATCCGCAGTACTATCCTGATAATTAGACCAATTTGTATACATCAAAGGCAAAAATGTGGTTTGGATTCCACTATAAACTGTAGGTCCCTTAGTTCCCATTAGCTGTATGGGCTATTAATTAACAGCTGTGTCTGAGAAATATGTCGGCCTTAGTCCCTAACAAGACTACAAGATCGCGCCACTCATCCTACACTCATCTCCATTCATTCTTGGCTTAAAATACCTACTTTGTATGGTCGCCATTTCATTGAAAAAAGTATATAAAATAATTGGCTGGATAGATATCATTAAAACACAAACATTTTAATTTAGCTGAACTTTAAAATAACTCAAGACATTGTGATATCATAATGATATGTTTTCAATCCTAAACAATTCATCCAGAAACAATGCTAATTTTATATGAAGTAACATTTTTTTTTACATAATATAGGAATGGACTTGGCTTGGTGCTTTATTCATGTTTAAGCACAGCCACTTGGTATTTTTATTCAATCATAGCAAAAAAGGTGTCATTATTTTTATTTTGATAAAACACAAATTAAGTCAGACAAATATATTACTATACACATTTTCATGAAATAACCCCTAAATCAAACATTTTAGTAAAATGTAGAGTAAATGATATCTTAATAACCAAAGATTCAGTAACAAGAAGAACCATATTTTATTCAAACTTTGCTGTTATATACCAAAGCACACACGTGTGTAAAAAATACAAATGTACAAAACTAAATGTTAGTTATGACAACATTATAGTATGTTTAAGTACACTTTACACTATTTATGAATATATTTTACATTGTGATAACAACTATGATGCCTTTGTGAAGCTTTATAATGGCTAAGACTAGCTGGTATAACTAATTATGTCATTAACAAGAACATTTACCTAAACACAATTATGTTTGGGAAATATTTATAACTTCATAATGGAGGCCATTAAATGTGACTGTAAGGCCTAACTTAAGATTTGATTCTGAGACTCCACTTGGTGATTTTCAAAAATACATTACATATAAAAAGATTTAAACTTGCAAATAATAACATTGTACCCGCAGTATTATATTTTAAGTACGGGTTAATTAAATAAACATAAATAACTGCTAAAAGCTTAATTTATACGCTAATCAATTCATAACTATACATAAGTTTATACAAATCTTAAAAATATTAAAATAATAATTAATTGTTCAATAATTTAATATAAATATTATAATTAAAATGATTTTGAATCATGTAATCGATCTAATATTGGCTGACATTTATTATTAACACATATATCAGTGATCAGACACAGTCAGAATCAGTGATATTCTTCATCACACTTTTATAAAGGATCATTGCTTCTAAGTACTTATTAATTTAATATCATCGGACAGTTAAACAACAAGTTTAAAATATAACTTTTTTAAAAGCTACATAGAGGAACATTGATAGTTAAATAATGGAAAAACATTATTACAAATCTCAATATTTATAACTGGAAAAGTTAACCTAAACTAAATAGAAATACAATAACACAGCCTTTGATGATGTAATGACTATATGGGTGAGGCCAGATGTGATTCAAGCCATCTCACTAGATATATAAGGGTACCCAAAGATTCCCTCTTTCTCAACTTGTTTGTACTTGTTTTTCGGCTGCTTCTTTTTGTTTATTTTATGTATGATTATCTTCAACAATCTAGATTCTCCCACTCCATTCTGCAAAAATAACCAAAGACGTTATGATTAAAGCTTGAGATAGGTGTTTCTTCATGTGCAGCACACTGTGACATATGCAGCTTACATAGACTTTAAGTTTATGTAAAGCAGTACAAATCTTATAGAAGATAGTTGTGCTGTTAACATTACGTGGAACATCATATTTAATATCAAGTGGGTCCCATTATCTGTCCTCACTACCTTCAAGAAGGTGCTAAAGTACATTTGACTTATTTCTGTATCTTTATGCTTTTTAAAAATGATATTTTGACTTAATGATTTGTATTTTGACTTTGGTATGGTCAAAATTAGTATGGTAGAAAAAAACTATTTGATGAAAACCAACCCCAAATAACTGTATCAACAAGGCGTTAACATTAGCCATTCAAACAAGATCCTAAAAAAATATAATTCAAGATAGAACACGATTTTTCATTACATTAAAGGAGAGTAAACGGGATTTTTTTCCACCCAGAAAGTGAGTTATGAAAGTTATGAAGTGAATTTTATGTTTTCTGAGTCTAAAATGGGAAAAACCTATTTTAACACACTAAGCCCCGTTCCTATAGTCCTATCATGCTGGTTTCCAAATTCGGTAGTGTTACAAGTTTGAACCGAATTTCATAAAAATATTAACATTTTTACTCAAGTTATCGTGCTAACGGACAAACACACACACACACTTACGAGTTACAACACATATGAGTTAGAATTAAACGTATTTTGGCCTCTGGAACCTCAAATTTTTTTTTAATAGGCCCCAGGTCTAGGATTTACCGTGCCACCTTAGGTAATACCTTCTTCTCTTATAACTTGCTTCATACCCGTATAACTTTTGATGTATAGGGGAAATTTGCTCAAACAAAGAAATTTATTTTATTAAATTCCTAGAAATAAAAAAAAGAATTTTAGATAGATGCACGGTATTGTAAACATTCAACACATAATCCACAGCAATAGCCATACCAAAATGCGTTTCCACATTTACTTGTGGATGAACCCTGGGAAAAACAGTTATTAGCTCATTTTAAATAATGTTCTTACCTCTATGAGAACTGCAATTATTGTATTGACAAGGGGCAAGGCCATGAGAGAAACCCGAAACCAAGCCTCGTTTGGAGTCCAAGGTTTCAGTTCAAAAAGCTCTGCTAAGATGGAGGGTGGATAGATCAACAGTAGAGTTGTGAACCCTGTCAGAACTAACACGAAGCCCCCAAACACCCCTAAAACATCAAGTCAACATGTTACACAGTGAATAGCTACTAACCCTTACCGAGCGTTAGCTGTATATATACGCAACTCAATCTGAAGGTCACAATCGCACGACATATACGCCAAAACATGTAAACGTCATTTAGGTATTTTAAAGTTGTTTCTTGGCCGTCAACAGTTACCTTAGGCCATTAATCAATATTACTGTTGTGATAACCTTTTTATTTTTCGTGGTAAATTAAATTTCTGATTGGTGGGTCGGCATCACTGATCTGGTAACATCTATTGTTTACAAAACCGGCCGGCTGAGTCATGTTATTGTTATGTTTTGCGCAGACGTTTACTTGTTCTTGAGTGAAGTAAACCTAGTAAAGTAACATTATTTAGTGGAATATATTCAGTCGATTAGAAATGTGTTGTATTGTTTATTGAAAATTATTTTTGTTTATTTTGGATGTTTGGAATCAAAATGTTTTATTGTAGGCCTATTATGATTAGATAGACCTAGGTCTGTTTTGTCTTTTGGTAATATAATAAAGAAGTCATAATTATTGTTCTTATCATGATACTTTTTATTTCAACCTGCTTATATAAATTATTTCAACAGTTATATAAATGTTTATCATAAACAAAACTTACAAGCAATAGACATATATATATATATATATATATATATATATATATGTATATATATATGTATGGATCAATGCATTCCTTAGCGATCATTGGACGTAAACTGCAAAAATTATGGTCATACAACTTGTAAAAAAATTATTTTTATAAAAAAAGGTATATTTATAATCAACTTTAACCACCAAATAGAAGTAAAAAGCATCAACACTTAAAAATCAATTTTTTAACCTCAAACAAATTATTGATCGCGTAGTGAGTAGGAGTGCTTTGCCCTGCAGCCGCCACTTGGGAAGGGTTAAATATCCTTTACATGAGGTCCTTTATTTTTACATAAGGATAATATTAGGTTTCTCAGTCTTTCTTTAGACTTCTAAGATTAAAATTTTCCTTACAAAAATCGAGTTTGAATAACATTGTAATGTGTAAAGGATTTTATTTGACAGGGTGTCCACCAGGCCAACCAGAAAAAATTCATGAGTAATTCTAGATAGTTCAGGCCGTACTTTACATACTAAACTTTCCAACGCGTTTTTGCGCCAACTCCCGCAATGCTGTTTCTGCGCTAACACAGTTGGCTATTTTAGTTATCGGAAAAAAAACATTCTCAGTTAATGTAACACAATTTATGATGAGTGTAATATTGCCTGACATAAGTATGCAATTTGTATATATTACTGATTAAATAGAAAACTAAAAACCAATTCTTAAACCTGCAATTTATCAATAACTTCTTAAAAATAGTGATATGTCAATACCAAAATTGATCGAATCATTTATGGAATCTACGTACCAACACCTGAAAAATAGATTCTTAATACAGTACTGATGATTTTAATTTTACAAAATTTTCCGTAAGGATTACTACACCAACCCCTGCCTTTATGTACTTTTATATAGTATGTAATTTTGGAGTTATGGGTTGTTTTTCAAGTGGCCTACAAAAATAATAATTCATAAATACCCAAAATCTCACATAGCCAATTAAAGTTTTTAATTAAACTCTTCTAAACACATTAAATAAATACCATGTTAAAGGTAAATGAACAAATTACAAAAAATATAAAAATAAATCTTTCAAGAAGAGTGCCAGTTTGAAATTTTTCGGTCGAGCTAAACTCGAGGTCGCATGATCATCTACCACTGTTGTAGATGATCCGTGATAATCATCGTTTTCATGATATATCATCATCGTTTTCCGTGATAACTGCAAAATCCTGAATATTTCCCTCAGTAACGGAAACATCACCACTGTCTTCCGTGGTCGTGACAAAATCCTAATATTGTTCAAGGGTAACAGACACACTATAATCGTCTTCCGCAATCCCAGAAAAGTTATCATCATCTTTGGCGATTATAGCTTAATTCTAATAATTTCTCACTGTAATCATCGTCAAGCAATAGTTTTTGGACATCATCATCGTCTCCTGCAGTCACGGAAAAGTCATCGTCTCCCGCGTTCACGGAAACGTCATCGTCGTCTCCCACGGTAACAGAAACGTCAATCGTCGTCTCCCGCGGTCACGGACATGACATGGTCGTCTCCCGCGGTCACGGACATATCATTGTCCTCTCCCGCGGTTACGGTAACGTCACCGGTGTCTCCCTCGGTCACAGAAGCGTCATCGTCATCTCCTGCGGTCTTGGAAACGCCATCATTGTCATGCGCGATCGTGGAAAAATCATTATATAATACCGCAGCTGCTTGGAGTTTGGACATCATCAAGCAACATGATGTCCAGCAGTCACGGAAACGTCGTCGTCGGCATGCACGATCGCGGCAAATTGAAATTCCCGGTCAAATACGAAAATCACGCATAATTCCCGGTTTTCCAGGTCGGGTGTCCACCCTCTTTGACCATGACAGATGTACAAAACAAAATTAAAATATAAATATCAGTTCACATTAATCTAGTACTGTAGAATAAGGATTAAGGGTATACAATACTGTTAAGAATGTTCTTTCAAAGCATGATGTAGTACCTTTCTGTGATTGAATCAATTGAAAAGTTCCTAGTTCAATAAAAAAAATAGACATTCTTAGTCATATCGGAAAATCTTAATTTAAGAGGCTATAAAAATATAGGAGGATGATTGTTAAAAAGCTTTAAAATTGTATACTAACATTGTAATTGTATAATTTTTATAACTTGTATAACATTTAATTGTATAATAAAATTGTATTAGCCCAAATATAAAACATAATACATATTATTTGCAGAAATAAGTAGGGGTTTAAGGATGTTTCCTTATATTTATGGAGATGTTACCAATTATTTTTTTTTATGAAAGGTATAAAACTCTGTAATATACTAACAGTTAGTGTGGAATGGCTGCCGATGAGGTTTGCCCTTTGAGAAAACACAAGCTTGGATGAAGAATTGAAAACAGCTGATTGTATAGACCACGGTGTTTTCCCATGATTCTACAGCACCTCCGTTTTCCACTTCAGGATTGACAGGAACATACCTTCACAAGTACAAAATTCATTAGTGTAAGGCAACAATCATACAACATCAATAAAACAATAAAACACATAACACACATTATTTAAAATAAAGTCTAATAATTTGTAAAGTATTTGTAGTTACTTCATAACTCAATGTATTGAAACAAAACTACGATACAGTCCCGAATATCCAATCATAGATTATCTGGCTTTTCTAGCAGAGTTTCCACGTGACCACAAACAAAGATCTCACTTCCTGTCTGGAGACAATTCTGCTTTATTGTAATGGAAAATCTTGTTTTATCCCGAATGACCTTTTTGATGCATTTACACAAGTATTTGGGGTTTATTTTTATTTGGAAATCAGTAAATAAAATCTGGCGCCATAACCTAAAACCTGTTACTTGTGAGTCAGAACCTAAAAACTGTTATTTGTGATGACAGAATAAGTTAAAGGTTTCAATGGAAAAACTTCAAGCCAAGAAATAGGTTCGTCAAGTTAAGTGTAAAAAGGTGTATCAAAAGTGTTTAATGACTTTTACCTACGACCGTTTTTTAAAGTCTAGCCATTTCAGTTCAGTTCTTAGAATTGAAAAGTTTCACTTAACAGCTGTTTACTTTCATATCAGCATAGTTTCATTTCATATCAGCATAGTTTTTCTCATATCAACACGGGTAACGGACCAATGAGATTCAAGGATTGAGAGAAAAGAAGTAAAATTAAAATGTTTGGAACGTCAACTAATCAGCTGATTAACTGATCAGTTGACAATTTTAATTGTTGGTCCGTCTTGTTCAATGTTCCTGTTGATACTCGCGTAATTTTAACCTAAGTTGGTATTTAAAGGAAGGTAGATTAAACTGATTTAAAAATTTCAGTTTTAGTGAAAGTGAAGTTGACGAGATGGAAATGAGAGCACAAACTGTTTGTGCTAATCTTTTGCCACCAAAATCGAAACAAATGTATGAAATTACATACCAGCAATTCATTAAATGGACGAAACAAGATAAGGTTAGATTGTTAAATAAAAATGAGCTTCTGGTTTATTTTGAAAACCTCTTAACCGTTGTTTCACCCAACTCGTTGTGGATGACATATTCGATGCTGAGATCCAACTGTAAATTAACTGTTTCACTATATTGTTCAGTTGTCCAAATAAATATGCAATATTTCCCTAACTGTAACTGATACAGTATTTATGGTGAGAATGCTGCTAGAAGAAGCTATTGCCTGCAAAAAAATAGTAACGTATTATTTAACGAAATTTTACAAACACGTAATTACATGAAATCAGCTGATTATACAATAAGTCGTTGCATCACTTTCAGTGGCAATGACAATCAACGAAAACATAACCTCACTAAGAAGTTATGAGTAATGATTGTTAGTAATTAAAAACCACATTGTAAGTACTTAAAAAACTGTCGTAGATAAAGTAGTGTACGCAACTCGCGTTAATAGTCTTTACGACACTCATAGAAGTTTTTAAGGCACTCGCCAAGGCTCGTGCCTTAAATTTTCTACTCGTGTCGTAAAGACTAACTTAACGCAATCGTTGCGTAAACTACTATTAACACATTTCTCAATGGTTTTTAACTATTTTCTGTGTCAGGTTGGATAGTTGAGACTCTAATATAAATTATAAACCCAATAGAAGAGCTATGATGAGACTAAACTAAATTTACTTTGAACTCACCTATTGAAATTGAAATTGAAAATTATGAACACAAAAACGTTTAAACTATTTTATACTACAAAAATGTTCATACCACGGCTGAGCCTGCAGAATGTACAAAGACAGGATCTGGATGAGACACAAGTTCGTGATGTGTAGCAGAAGAGGAATGACATTGGCGGGGGCCACAAGACTCATGACGGGGCGATGAGGCACCAGGAACTTCGCAGGCCCCGCTTGTCCCATCATGAACGCCAAACTCGTGGTGATCACCAAGTCAACATAAAGGAACTCTATGTTGCTGAGCTCAACAGCACTCTGGAAAATAACACAAATGTTATAGTTATAGTTATAGTTTGTACTTTGTAACCAAATAATTAGATTGTTGATAAATTTAGGTACATCATCAAATACGATAGCTCAGTGTTGGTTTGAGATTGCCTACACTATCTTGGCCACTGGTTTTTCCATGCGACTTAAACTGTAACAATATTTGACTGCCTTTAGATCACCTCACAGACTAAATCTATGGTAATTGATAACGGGCAGATGAGATTAGAACAATTAATTATAAGTTTTTGTTGTTGTATATTGATTACTGGAAATGAACTATCCTGGGGAATGTGCTGTTCCTCCTTTTTCTTACCATGTAGAAAATACACATACATATTTTATTTAGCATGGATTTAAAACGGTAATGACATATTTTGACTTGTGAGTTAGTTATAGTTAACAAACAACCTATTTATATGTCAAGATATTTAATTTATTTATTTAATTTTTTTATTTAATTTATATGCCAAGATAGATAAAGCTATTTCTTGATAATAACAGTAATTTTTATAATATTGTAAACATATTTTTGAAATTTTCTATGAGAAGAAGATCATGTTTTAAAAACCTGTCACTTTTTGATACAAAACCCACTGTGAAGATTCTTAAACACAATAATCAGACAAACAGATCACAATTTCTGTTTGCTTATTTGCAATAAAGGGTGGTCCATAAATAACGGATCATTTTTAAACAAGTGTCAATCAACTGTTATTACGCATAGAATATTCATTGTTGTTTTAAACAACAACAAATGACATGCCATTTGAATTCATGGATTGTTGGACAATACAATACCGTACCTTTTGCACTGAAGCCTATTAAAAAAATAACGAGTATGTGATTGTATCTCAGAGGTTATTTTGAAATCATTTCAACGCCCATTGTCATGGTGCGGTTCCCTCTAAGAATACTATCAATAGGTGGGTATTTAATTTAAGATCTCAAGAATAAACATCCGGGGAGGTCAAAGTCTGTACGTACAGATGAGAACATCGCACGAGTTCGGGAATCTGTTCTCCAAAGTCCAAAAAGATCGACAAAATAAAATTCTGTTGCTTTAGGTGTTTCTAGGACCAGTTTACATTGTATTTTACATGACCATTTGAATTTGCATCCCTACAAAATAGTTGTTGCACAGAAGCTCAATCAAGGTGACCATGGATTACGCCTGATGTTTTGTCAAAGACTCTTTCAGCTGATTGAAGGCAAAATCCTTCTGGGGCGGCTTTACTATGTCACTTAATTCAATGCAAAAGGCACAGTGCGTCCAATGATCCATGATTACTCAAATGGCATGACATTTGTTGTTGTTTAATACAACAATAAACATTCTACGATAATCAAGCATAATCAAAGTATTGAAATATTCAAGTAAGCAATAATCAATTAAGTATTGAGCCAATTAGACCACACAACATTTTTAGGTTTAATCATATATGAAAATCTGGCATGGGATAATCATATTAACAATCGTATTAGAATAACATCCAGCAGCCCTTACGCATTGAGAAAATTGCTACATCATGTAATATTGAAACGTTAAAAGCAGTCTATTATGCATTAATTCATTCCAATATTGCCTATGGAATTTGTGTCTATGGACCTACCACGGGAAATAAAACATGGACAGAGTTTTGCTCCAGCAAAAAAGGGCATTGTAGTCCAGGTAAAATACGAAAAATATATACCTAACCTGGGAAAAATTGCTTTAAAGCCAATCAAAGCAGAATTCTTGTCATTACATATTAGGGGAGGTCTCTACCAAAATCCGACAAAATCCGGCCATGGGAAAACCTCCAAAATCACGATTTAAAATGGCGGCTTTTCCCAATATTGGAATATTTTCAAAAAAAGACACCCCACTGCATTTTTAATCCACATTTTTCGAGATATTGACTTCGGACCACCGCATATATTTTTTGGGTGATTGGTACTTTATTTTGACAGCGTAATCGTTTTTGGCCGCCATCTTGGATCCGCCATATTGGATATAAATATAATTTCTTAAATGTAAAGATAGTGTTGTGACACATCATAATAAAGTAGATTTTCACGCAGATCACAATGCCGAAATCCGTTTTTTAATATCTTTATTCGTTCTAAAGATATACTAAAATAAAAATTCTACCCTATACATTTCTTATGGACGTTTCGTATTTTGAAAATTTTTTAAGATTATTTTTCTTATATCTCCAGTTCTAAATGAGGCTTCCAGTTCGTTCTGGTCTCAAAATGTTCAGTGATGTAACGGCTTTTATTTGAGCTATTGGTCATCAATTTACATGGAAATTGCTTTCCCTCACTCTTGTCCCTTTGGTGTCAATAAAATGTGTTAATAGAAAAGAATAATGCACAAACACTCAAATGATATAGTGATAATGTTTATTACTTAATGTACATAGATATCAAAGAAAAAAAAATACAAAGAAGATTAGTTATAAATTAATGTTAAGGCATTACATCACTCTAGGTCTGAGTTGTTGTCAACGTCTTTATCCTTCTCAATGTCCATTTCATTCTCACAGCCTGTACTGAATTTGTCTATTGTAAAATATTGCATTTTGTTATGTTACAAAACCCCAAATTTCTCAGTGTTACCATGCTCGGATTTTGTCGGATTTTTGTTTATATATTGTCCTGTATGTATAATTTGAAAATATGGCTTAAATTTGCTTAAAGCAATTTTGCCCACCTCATAGTGTATTTTACCCGGACTATTGAGGATAATGTTGAATTTAAGATCAACAGTCTAGGTAAGGCAAGTCTTTTGTATAAGTAAAATATTCACAGTCTATAGTCTTTTCATTTATGAATCAATTAAATTTTTTTATGAACGATAAAATTGCAATAGGGTCTCTTATTGGTTCATAAATATAACACAAGATCACACCGATTGGTAGAAGAGCACAATTTGGAATTTTATAAAAAAAAGTTGTAATTTAGGAAACAAATTTTTACACCACCTTTTACAGATTTGAATCAGCATTATACTCCATTGAAGAAATGTGTGTAACTGAAAATCGCTTTAAAACAAAAACATTATCTCCATTGATTGTTCTATCATGTTTGTTTTCTGTTACTTTTACATGTTAATCAGCTGGGCTTATTGTTTAGAGAAAGGAATATCAATTTGAAGGTCATTAATTTTTATATATTTTCTGGACTACTGTAAAATCACTAGCTTTAACAGTCTAGACAAGAAAATTTATTTTGACACAAATTCGGGTACCAATCTGTACATTTTATGAAATAAAGATGATGATAAAGATAAAGATACGAGTAACAACAGCTGATTGAAAAAAATGTTTAAAAATGATCCGTTATTTATGGATCACCCTTTACTTCATAGTTAATAAAAAAGAAATATATTTATTTATTTACCCTTTTTAATAATACGCATAAAGAAAAACAAAACAAAAGACTTGGGATAAAACAGTTTACTAAGTATAAAATTTTTAGATTGAAAGGCAGCAATGGTTATGCGATAATTTTAGTGTATGTATATCTAGTTATAAATTTATAATAAATAATAATAAATATTTCATTCAGTTTATTTCATGTGGTACAGTCCACTCTTGGTAATTCAAACACTTGATAATTCAAAATTTTCGATAATTCAAAATGAAGGCTCAGTCCCTAGAGAATCTCTCAATATTTCAAATTTTTACTATGCATTTTGATACACTCGGTATTTCAAAGTCCAAATAGAGGGCAGGTCAATTTGTAATACGCAGTAATTGGAAGTTTTGTCGGAAAAACACTATAGTTCGAAGTAACTCAGTAATTCGAAGTTTCTTCGGTTAACACTCTACAATTCGAAGTCATGCTGTAATTCGAAGTTTAGTCGGCAAAACACTCTATAATTCGAAGTGATCTCTTCCTCTTATAACAGGAAACTATACAGTACAGTACATCCTGTTCCCATGGTAGGCTAGTGTTGGACGTTTTGATGTTTGTTTAGTTAGAGCAGTAGTCTGAGTTAGTACGTGACTTGTTTTTCTATGTTGGCAATCCGATCTCTAGATTGCGCGACATCTCCTTGAGCACAAACGTAGTTGTCGACAGCTGATAGTTCAGCTATTGGCGAAATATATAGTGCTAAATAACAGATTTCTTTGCAACTACAGTAACTGAAAAATAAGCCGTTGATTGTTTAAAAGTGTACTAAAATACGGTATGATGTTTTATTGTAACGTGCTGTACCTTTGTATGTATTAAACAAATGAACTCTCTGTAATTCGAATGGTTTATTTTTCTCCCGATAAATCGAACTCTTGATAATTCAAAACTCTTGATAATTCAAATTTATATGCTTGGCCCACCAATTTCGAATGATCAAGAGTCTACTGTAGTATACTTATCCTACTAATAAGTTACTACGGACAAAAAGTTTTAGTGTTTAAAAATCGTATTAATAGAAATAAAGCCAACACTTACGTTATACAGAATGAGCACAGACATAAACTGGATCAAGCTGTAAGTAGCCATGTACTTGAAAAGGCCAAAACTGGTGACTAAGGCACATCTTCCCTCTTTCATGAGGTCTAGAACACAAGTTACGTCTTGTCGACGTGAAGTAAAGGGAGCGGCTATAGAGGCTTCTGCTTGAGATAGAGACACACTCACGTGCGCTGCCTTCAGAGCCTACGGTAGATAAATGAACAATTGTTACATTTGTTTGGATTCATAAACATAAATTAGGTCTTGGCTTCTGCATAAATTAAGGCACATGTCACAAAAGGACTTATCACACATATACATTTACACCCTTATTAGCAATATGAGAGTTCCCTGAATGCCAGGTAAAATATAGTAACTCCCATATAGCTAAAGGTATAGTTATTTCCATTTTTGCAATACAGAAATAAAACTGCACTATGGCCGCTTCAGAGATAGCTTACATCAACGGGTGTGTAATTGTTCACTAAACTAAAGCATGATTGTCTCAATCTGCATTCAGTCGACCAGTCGTTAAATACAAATTACATATAAAAAGGGACACACAATATGAAAACTATTAGAGTATGTGCACATGCACAACATAAAAACTGGCAACCGACTGTTCAATCTTTATCACTGCAGGAGGTAACTGTATGACTGGAACAACTGATAACAGCTGATCGAACGGCCGTAGTGCAGTTTTACCTCTGGATTGCAGATGGTAAGAACTATAGTTATTTGTGCAACTAGTGAGAAAAGTGAGCAATTGACTCACTCAAGAGAAATCCTTACTGGTTTCTCGAGTGAGGCAATTGTACTTTGAACTCGAGTTGCACATTATACTTTTCCTACAGTTACCATAAAACAAATATATTGGTGAAGAAACATAACCTATTTTTACACAGAAGTGAACTCTTAATATAAAATTTAATGTGAAGTGACAAATACAACAGTACAACAGCTGACCAGCTGATTTACAGCCAGTGCTGCCAACGTATTTCGCGCGCATACGACGTTGCCTGCATGTTACGCGCTCACTATTTCGTGCCTTCACGTTGCAAATCTGGAGTGAGACAAAGTAATTAGAGTGAGACAATGTTAACATTGTCTCGCTGATGAGCGAATTGACCACTTTGCTTTCTCAAATCAGTGAGAGAACATGTACATTGTTAGGTAACTGTAGGAAATAGTTATTTGTGCAACTAGTGAGAAAAGTGAGCAATTGACTCACTCGAGAGAAATCCTTACGGAATGGTTTCTCGAGTCAATCAATCAATCAATCAATGTTTATTTGCCATAAGGATACATTTACATATCATTGACAAAGTCTATTTGCAGTTTTCAAACAAAGTCTTAAAATAAACAACAAAATACTCTTACAGGCCAAATATTACAATTAACACTCAACTCCATTCACATTCTTAACTGAAATTAAAACCAAACTAAAGGACAATTTCTCCCAGCTTAAAATAATCATCCAGACTATAAAAAGGGTTCTGAAGTAGATAATTATAAAACATAGCCTTAAATTTGTTAATTGAATGAAAATTTATATTATTTTTTACTGAATTATACACTTTAATTCATAAAATTATGTGGCAATTACTAGTTTTACTAAGACGATGGGATTCTAACAGCGCAGTATTTTTAAAACGAGTGTTGTGACTGTGATTATTAAATTGAAGATATTCAGGGTTTTTTAATATATAAACAATCAGATCATAAATGAACAAATTCACTGCAGTTTGAATTTGCAGATCTATAAAAAGAGGTTTGAAATGATCAGGGTGTGTCCCTGTCATAGCTCTTAAAGCCCTCTTTTGGAGAATCAAAATTTCTTTTATTCTACCACTACCACCCCAAAGCACCAATCCGTATCTCATGATTGACTGGAAGTACGCAAAATAGGCTGTCCTTACATATTTCTTAGGAACCTGATCTACCAGACGATCTAAAAGATGCACCACACGAGACAATCTTGAAGATAAATAATCTATGTGAGCATTCCATGTGAGTTGATTATCAATTTGAAGGCCTAAAAATTTTACAGCTGTGCTATTATTTAGATCACTCATAGTGGGGATTTGTTTTAGTGTAAAAATCATGTTTTGGGTTTTTTCTTCATTAAGCAAAAATCCATTTGCATCAAACCAATTTGATGCTTTTAGCTTTGTTTCAAGGACAAGATTTTTTAGTTCTGTTAGGTTGGGGTTTACATGAAAAAATGATGTATCGTCAGCATAAAGAATAGTTTGACTCTTTACTGCCAATGGAAGGTCATTAAAATAAATTAAAAATAAAAGTGGACCAAGGACTGAGCCTTGGGGAACGCCCCATTTTACATTCTTTTCTTGTGACGTATTGCCATTAATACTTACTATTAGTTTACGATTGTTTAGGTAAGATGAAAAGAATTGTAGAGATGGCCCTCGAAACCCATAATTTTGTAATTTGTTTATAAGAATTTTAAAATCAACACAATCAAACGCCTTGCTCAGGTCACAAAAAGTGCCCTGAGCAAATAACCTATTTTCAAATGCCCCATGAATCTGACGAATTAGATTATCAAGAGCATCAATAGTGGACATTCCCTTTCTAAATCCAAATTGGGATACATTAAACAAGTTGTTCTCCTCAAAATACTCATTAACTTGTTCAAAGACCAAGATTTCAATTAATTTACCAATTACTGGAATTACTGAGATAGGACGATAACTTTGGGGTTTATCTCTTGGACCCTTCTTATAGACTGGACAAACACGTGAGACCTTCAACAAGTCTGGGAATACTCCAGCTTCTAACAATGTGAGGCAACAACAAAGGCACAAGGAGCAACAAAGTGAGGCAATTGTACTTTGAACTCGAGTTGCACATTATACTTTTCCTACAGTTACCATAAAACAAATAAATTGGTGAAGAAACATAACCTATTTTTACACAGAAGTAAACTTTTAATATAACATTTAATGTGAAGTGACAAATACAACAGTACAACAGCTGACCAGTTGATTTACAGCCAGTGCTGCCAACGTATTTCGCGCGCATACGACGTTGCCTGCATGTTACGCGCTCACTATTTCGTGCCTTTACGTTGCAAATCTGGAGTGAGACAAAGTAATTAGAGTGAGACAATGTTAACATTGTCTCGCTGATGAGCGAATTGGCCACTTTGCTTTCTCAAATCAGTGAGAGAACATGTACATTGTTAGGTAACTGTAGGAAAAATATATTTATATATTTACACACAATCTGCTACACTCAACAATCAACATAAATAAGTCACTTGTGCTTTGTTTGAATTTAATTTTCCTACACTTTTAGGGATCTGAAACAATCAGGTGAGATAGCAATAATCTTTTGGATACATAAAATTGGTGTTTCATCTTACTGTATAAAAACGGATGTTTTCAGTACATGAGTTGTAGAGCTTAAGTAGTTGATTTATCTATCTCTAGGGTAAAAAATCCATGTGAGCATTTACTCCCTTGTAAACTAAATTTGATACCAATTATCTACTCTAAATATAATACTGGCATGTATAATGGAATATTTCAATAACAACTACAGTACAAATCTTGCGACCAGGAGTTGATAATATAAGTAGCATAAACTCACTGTCTATAACAGCAATTATTTTCTCTACTTGTTGAGTCGTAGAGAATTTTAAATCTTAAAAATTCTATTCTCAAAATGTATTAATTTAATTTTACCCAAAGGCAATCGGAGAGCATGAAATAAAAACTCTGCTTCTCAGTTCACACACTTTTTAATATCAGGTTTTAAAATTGGATATATTGAATTATGACAAGAACTGTTATATTAGATTAGAATATTAAATGAAATCTTCCGGAAGGTTGAAACTTTTAAATCCTAAAAATCTGATAGAAATATTGTAAGAGTATTTTGAATAATTGCTAAATAAATTAAGTTAAAAATTATTTTCTACTTGCGGAGTCTTTCTTGAGAAGTCCAGGTTGTGGTGAGTTTCAAGTGAGGTCGTGACGTGGGTAGCGAAGCGGTTGTAAGAGGGTTGGAGCCGGCGATGTCGTCTGGGAAGGTTGCAGAGGGTTGGCCTCAAAGGAGTAGCTAGGAGAGTAGAGGTTTGACGTAGAGAGACTCTGCTAGTGGTCCAGTGATGCCCGTAGAGGAGAGGGATGACTTGAGCTTAAAAGTGGCGTGCAGGTTGACGACAGGAGAGAATTACCAGTCCATTCACTTGTAGAGGTTTCATCCAAATATTAATACTGAAGATTTACTTCATTCACTTCACATCACTGTCACTGATACACTGAACTGTACTATTATGTTCTAACATTGGTTATAATTAAAAGAGAGAATTTAGACTACATTTTGAATCTATAACTACAATATATTTGAGGACATGTTAACTAGAAGGCAGTAGTGTGTAGACTGAGACAGAGCAAAAAGTGAAAGCATAAAACAAGAACAATACTGTCTGGCAGATAAGGAAAACGAATATAGATAAAACCAACAATAATGGAATGCATTGGAAATACCAATGTCCAGCCAGTCCATTCATTACTTTTATCAGTAGTTTATTCTGATATTATATTCAAAACTCTACATACCGCCCACCCAAATGAATATTTGCAAACGTAAAAACAAAAATCAAACAAAACAAAAAAGGAAAGGGTAGTTTATGAGTCAAAGTCAGAGGGAGGGAAAGGAACCAGCTTGTGAACTGGGCGCACAAACGTCCCTTGTGCGGTTTTGATCTTGACTGCTCTTACTATTCCGTCACGTCCAGGGAAAGTTTCTTCTATTCGCCCGATTGGCCATTCAAGTGGGCTGGTGTTCTTCATTTGGAGGTATGCTACATCACCAACTTTGACATTGGGTTGAAGGAAGTCCATTTTCTACGAGGAATCAGGGTTTGAACGTATTCCTGTGACCATCTCTTCCAAAAACACTGAACAGCCTGTTGTAGAAGTTCATATCTTTGTAGTCTGTTCATGGGTGTGTCACTGCAGTCAATTTCAGGTGGAGCTAAGAGTGGCGATCCAATAATAAAGTGACCTGGGCTCAAATAGTCGCCATCGTTAGGGTCTGTGATCATCGTTCCGATTGGTCTACTATTGAGAATAGCCTCTATGCGTGTCAACAAAGTGTTCATTTCTTCATAGGTGAGAACAAGTGTGCCCATTACTCGTTGCAAGTGATGTTTGGTGGATTTAACAGCGGCC